TCTCCCAACCTCATTGGAGAAGTTTTCTCTTTTTTTTAAATCTATTGTTGGAGATCCATTGAGGGTACAAGAAACCAGGTTTTACTGATTGCGTTTGTTAGGTAAAGTCTCTCTTAAAATCGTGTCTTGCCCCCAAAAGGTGTGGCACATACCAAGACCCCACCCCCTCCCTCCTTCCCTCTCTCTGCTAGTCCCTTCCCCACTCCTCCCTCCTTCCTCTCTTTGCTCACCTCTCACCCCTTGTCATTAATTGTCCTCATATCAAAATTGAGTACATAGGATTCATGCTTTTTTATCTTAGGTGTACCCTTCCCAGGTTTCTCTTTTTCTATGTCTCCACTTCCCTGAAGCAAACAAAGTCCTTGCCTTTCCTCCTGCTGCTCAGGACTCCATACACTCCTCACTCTTAACTACCCTTTGAGGATGTTCAGTACTGTGAGCCAATAGCTTTCTTGTTCTTTTCTTTTCTGCAGGACCTTCTCTGCATAAGAACTTTTAGGAAAATATCAAACACAGATCAAGGCAGGACTGCTCCGGCTGAAGCAGATGTGGGCAAATTCCTCCGCTCCAGCTAATTCGTTTCTTCCTTATCTCTTTCAAGCTGTAGGGGTGCAAAGGAACAGAATTTAAAACTCACTGCCCCAGAGTTTTATTTGTCTTATAATTATGATCTACCAATCTTAAGTCTAATTTCTTTTGGGCTACATAGGTGATACCAGCTGATTTTTATCAGATTATCATTTAACGATGTATTTGGAATAATATGATAGCAGTAGTAAAATGAGTATGAAGTTTGTATTTTAACTGAGACTTTATGAACACAGTATCTTAAAGAAGTGATACCATTTGTGCAAAATTTGGGGTGCTATGACGTCTTCCAAGGTATATTTCTAGAGTACCTTAAAGAAGGATTGACTTGTGGGTAGGGCCAGTATCCCCAGTCACTTTTTTAAAAGTTGTTTTTTAAGTGACACGTCAGTGAAAAATAACAGAGATAATCTCTTTTACTTATTGGATAGAATCGTCTCTGCCTAGATCAATATAAAGTAATAATTTTGAAACAATAACAGCACAGATTTGAGATAATAACAGGACAACTCTATTCGCTTTTGGTCCTATATTTCTCGATGGGCAGATCTTTCATTTACAAATATTTTGTTGCCAATACTACACACACTTTAGGCATGAATCTCTTGATTTCTTAAAATTATCTTAATATATGTCACTATCCCTTGCTCAACTTGAAAAACGCCTGTAAACTTTCTTGTCCGGTGTGGGCTTGGTTCTTCACAGGTAACGCCCTCAGCAGCCACTGGGGGGCAGGAGATACCATCCTGCACCGTTGTCTATTTCAAAGCTATTTCCCAGTGGAAGCCAGCGTGTGTGGGGAGAGGGGACTGACCAATAAAAGAATGCCACAGTGAAGCTGCTGAAGGTGCCTGCAGCTTCTCAGTTCATCTCAACAGTCTTTTTTATGTTCTTTGCATGTGAAACGGAACTGCTGAAGAAATAACTAAAGAATCTCAGATTAGACTGACGACTTAAACTCTGTAAGCCGCTAGTTCAAAGACTCAATGTTCTATGAAGATCTAAAAGTGGATTTTGACTTGTAGTTTGCTTTTTGTTTTATCTTTATTTTTGCAACACACACAACAAGGGCTTTGACGTGGGGTAGATTCCTATTTGAAATATACCCATTGGGGAGGAAGAGATCAGACATTATATATTACTGTGGATCGTTGTTGTAACATTTGAAACATAATTTTTTTTTTTTAATATAGGGGAAACACTGGGTTAGGAGTCAAAAGTCTTGCTTTCTAGTCCTAGCTATCTTTCTGACTAGCTTGCACCTTGAGGCCCCTTCCGCTCACCTTGCCTGTGCCTCTGTTTCCTCATCTGTAGAATGATCACTGCAGTTCTTTCAGGCAAAAAACTGCCAGAACTCTCCTTGCAAAGAACTGAAGCTGGTAGTAATGAAGAAAGGTAATATCTGGTCTAGGGGAGTCCTGAAGGATGACTTCCTTTGTGGTCCTCATACAGTGTCATTTGTTGTTCCCTATGACTCCATCTGGCATGATGAGAAGTCCTAAGCAATAGGCCTCATTACCTTGTTTCCTGTTTACTGATAACTTGTAGCAGATAATAATTGCTGTAGGCAAAATGAAGAGAGAACACTCAGGGCTGCATTTGCAGGCAGAAAGCAGTGCATACAGGATGGAGGGTCTGAAACCATGAATCGTCGTTAATTAGACACCATACTGATAGAAATTAAAGTACTGATAGTGCCAGCCACGTGTGTTTGTCTCTTGAGACAAGGGATGGAGACAGACCACAAGGAGGAAGCCTCCCTGGGATGACACTTGAGAGGAGGCTATACAGAGTAAGACACAGCAGGCCAAGCAAGATCATGTGCATCCCAGGGGTGACAGGTAGGCAGAGGGGAAATGTTGCTTCTGCAAGTGAGAAATGATTTTTGAGTCTGTGGGCTTGTAGGGGAGGCCTGTTCAGGCCAGTAGACAGGTGGCAAAGACCTGCAGAGACAGGAGAGAGGATGAAAGCAATGGACTTAGTAGTAAAGTGACAAAGGAGGAATGCAACATAGCATACAGATAGATCGCAAACTGAAAGGGGCATGTGCACAAAAATGAAGAAGAAGTAGAAAGGAACCCAGAAGGCAAAAGCATTCTAATTTGTTGTAGTGGTAAAAATCTGAGAAAGGATGTTTTCTTTCAGTTCCATTTCCTTTCATTTTGTTTTTGTAAATGATGATAAACAGCTTTAAAGTGCAGAGAAAGGAAGAAAAGGTTATAGTAAACACCTTTGAATAGAAGGTCTCAGGATTGGACAACCATGAAACTAAAACTAGAGAGGCTCAAGCAGAATTGGGATAGGGTCAGAGGGGTATCCATAGAGACCAAAAGCAAAGTAGCCAAGATCAATAGCACAGCAGTTGAGAACCCAGACTCTGGAGCAGGGTGGCCTTGGACCTCAGTTTCTCTACCTGTAAAATAGGGACATTATAGCACTTAGCCTAGGATTGTTGTGAAAATTAAATACAATAATGTTAGCAAAGGGTTTAGAACCATGCCTAACATGACTTCTCTGTGTTTGTCATTACCTGGAGGAAGCCAGTGTTCAGGGTGGAGACCTTCATTTCAGCAAGTTAAAGGAATGGAGGGAGCAGGGGAGCAAAACTCCCCCGCCCTGCAGGCTGTCAGGTGAGGGGGTCCCTGCAGGGACTGAAGAGGAGATGAAAAAGCAGAAGGAAGGGTGGCAGAGAAATTGAGAGGGAGGGCAGTAGACACACATCACAGGCAGTAGCGTAGGGGGAAGGAGGAAATCACCAAACGTCAAATGAAGCCATAAAGAAAAGGAAGAAGCCAGAGATGATATAGAGACGCTGACTCTTCTATGGATGCTGTATAATGAACACTGGGCTTGGGGTTGGGGTTCTGTCCCTGGCTGCATAGCCTCCTGGATGAATGGCCTTGGAAAAGTCACTTATCCTCTCTGAGTCTTATTGTTTTCATCCGTGAGAGTGTAAATAGCCACGCCAACCTCACAGAGCTATTGGCACTATCAAAGGAGGGCATTTTAAAGTTAGTGCCTGAGCACCCAAAACACGCGCAGGGAAACTCCATGTCCAGAGCGCTGAAGGCACCAGCACTGTGGGAGGCAGAAGCAGCGCTGCGCCTGGTCTTCCTGAGTCCAGGCCCAGGAATGAGCGAGGCAGTGGGCGGGGAAGACAGGCACGGGGAATCTGGGGACAGATAAAGGAAACTCGTGATGGGGCGAGGCAGGACTGAAGAGAAACAGATTGGGGTAGAGCTGCAAAGGGAGGGGTCCAGAGGAAGGGGAGAGGGAGGCCGGGGAGAGAGAGGGTGGGAAGACAGACCGAGATGGGAGGGCAGTGCGCAAGAAAAGCAGGCTGGGGAGAGGGATTGGAATGCAGAAGGAACTTGGGCAAGGAGGAAGTCCTGAAGGCGGGAGGGAAAAGAAGCGAGGGAAAATGGGGATACAGTGGAGGCGGGGGCAGGCCACGAGAGGGACGAGGATCCTGGGAGCAGAAGGAGAAATGAAGCGGCTAAAGCCTGCGCCAGAAGAGGTTGAGGACTGCGAGAGGAGAGGCTGGGGCCTGCAGGGGAGCACAGCAGCTTGTAGCATCGATCCAAACTTTAAAGACTCATGGCCTTTGCCTGACCTCGAAGGTCGGGAATAGACGCCTGTCTTTGTGGAGAGCGATACCCCACCGAGAAAATGGGGCTATTCTGAGCTAGGTAGGCCCTGCGCCTGGCCCAAGGCGAGACTTCCCTGGCTCTAGGCCGTTCCCTAAGGGCAGCGAATGGCCGGCCTGGCAGTTGGGGCCGAGGAAGGAAGGTACCACCGCCCGGAGCCAGCGAGCAGCCTGGTGCAGAGGCGCCTGCTCCGAGCCGTCTCTGGGGGGCGCCGCTGTCGTTTCCCTCCCCCAGGGCCGCTCTCTCCCAGGAAAGTGGAGGGAACTGGAGAGGACTGAGAGCCCGCACTGTGCCGCGGAGGGACCGAGCCTCCGAGAGTTCGAGGGGGACCCTGGCGCTGCGGACCGGCCTGTGCTCTCTAACCACCGCACGGCCGCGCCCGGCCTTTCGCCGGCCAGCGCCTGAGGCCCGCGCTGCGCGCACCGCCTGGCAACCCCGCGCACGTCCCGGGGGGGCGCTGCGTCTTCCTGCCACACCGGCACACCGCGGCCCCTCTCCCCCACACCTCCTGCCCGCACCACCCGCCTCCCCTCCCATCCCCCCTACCCCTCCTCTGCCCTTTCTCCCTCCCCTCCTCTCCCTCCCATCCCGGCGAGGGGCGGGAGGGGGCGTGGCAGGGCCGGGGTTTGTGTGGCTGGGACCCGGCTCCTTGCACTTCGAGTCCGCCGGAGGAGCCGGGCCCCGGCCGCTGTCCAGCCTCTCCGTGCCCCTAGCGCCTTGCGCCGTTGCCGCAGCCTCTTGGGGAGACACAGCCTCTTGCACGCCATGGATACTCCCAGGATCCTGCTCTCGGCTGTCTTCCTCATCAGTTTCCTTTGGGATTTGCCGGGTTTCCAGCAGGCGTCCATCTCATCTTCCTACTCGTCTGCGGAGCTGGGCTCCACCAAAAGCATGCGGAGCCGCAAAGAAGGGAAGATGCCGCGGTCGCCGCGAGAGAGTGCCGCGGGCCGGGCTCCCCCGGAGGACCAGGAGCCACAGCCCGGGCCGCAGGACGAGCCTCAGCAGCGGTCGCCTCAGCAGCCTCAAGCGCAGGAACCGCCAGAGAGAGGTCCGCGCGTGGTGCCCCACGAGTACATGCTGTCAATCTACAGGACTTACTCCATCGCCGAGAAGCTGGGCATCAATGCTAGCTTTTTCCAATCTTCCAAGTCGGCTAATACGATCACCAGCTTTGTAGACAGGGGATTAGGTAAGTGGCAAAGAAAATGCCCGACTCCGCTTTTCCTGGAGCTCCGCAGCTAGAGCGCTGCTCCGGCTCCGGCAGGAGGCTGCATCCCACTCTGGACACTTCCCCTTTTTCTTTTCTTAAAATGCTTTCCTCAAGCCCGAGTAAGTTTCGGAATCCCAGTCTGCAATCCTCCCTCTGTTGGTTCCTTCCTTCCTTCCTTCCTTCCTTCCTTCCTTCCTTCCCTCTTCTTTTACAGAAACCAGTGTTGTGGCCGCTCATCTGGTGGCTGGTGTAGGATGGGGGCGGCAGGCAGATGATCCCGGCTGGAAAGGGGTAGGGGCAGGGACTGATGGAACCTGTGCCTCGAGGTGGGGGTGGGGTCCCAGGTTGTGAGGTATGCATAGTCCAAGGCCCAGCAGATCTGACGGCCCGATGCAGGAGTGAGTTGGAAGCCAAAGCCAGCAAGAGCTAGCGGAGTCCCTCTGCCCAAGGAGCGAATACACTAGCTGTATTCGCTCTGTCTGGCAGTGCCGGGTCCCGCCGCCACGCGGATTCTCCTCTGGTCCCCGCGCCGGGTGTAGGCATGGTCAACCTGGCGGGAGCGCTGCGCCCTCCGGCTGTTTTGTCTCTAGCTCGGGGCTGTTCTAAGGCCTCAATAAGTGTTTCTGCAAAGGCTGCGGCAGCACCTGTCTGGGCCGGTCGGGGTTAGAGAAGGCTAAGTTTGGGGGGTTGTTGGTACTTAACCCACAAGGGTGCGTGGGTGCGCCTGTCCACCTTTCCCATCTCCTCTCTGTGCACTTCTCCCAGGGACGCCATCCATCGTCCCCTTTGACAGAGCGGGTGCATATGTTGGTTTCTGCAGAAACTCCTGCGCCCCATTTTTGCCACTGGGGTTGGTCTGGAGAGTGGCCACTGCCCTCAAGAAAGCCTCGAGCTGGTCCTGGAACCTGGGGAGGGATCCACGGGTGTCGGACCTCAGCTCCTAAAGAGGAGAGACAATAATGTGAAAAGAGGCAGAAGAGGGAGAAAAAGGAAAGGAAGGGGAAAGAAGAGGAAGGAGATAAAAAGAAACGAAGGAGATTAAAGACATTTGGGCAGCTAATCGTTTCTTCATCCTATCCAGACTTAGTTCCATGACTTTTGACGGATTCCAAGTCCTCTCACTTGCAGGTCAGTGAAAGTGGGGTGGCCCAGGAGCCCTTGAGCGCTGTGGCTCGGGGTGAGGAGGCTGCATCGCTAGGCTGCCTTGGGTGCTCGCACATTCTCCAAGCTTTTTAGGGACGGATAACGGCCATGCGCCCTGGCTCTGCCCCACTATAGTCCCAAGCCTCTCACTGGCAGTCCCCTTCCTTGCTTCGGAGCATCCTGCCCACGCAGGGTTTGCGTTGGTCCAAGGTCAGCAAGGTTCACGAGCTGCTGAAAGGTCCCGACGGTACATTAACGCCGGGTATTTTATGATGATTTTAGGACTACTAAAGTCCTAAAGACACGCGGCTTCTTCCTAGAGCTACAACTGGGTGCTCGGCTTCCCGGCTGCCAGAGCAGCTCACCGATCCCCTTCCCCTCCTCTCACCCCGCCCAGCCAGGGTTGTCCCTCTACCTCCAAGTCCTCTGTTAATCGGCCACCTTATCTACTACCCTTGGCGAAGAGGCCAAGAAAGCTCAGAGAAAATACAAGAGACCCTTCCTCAAGAGAAGAGATCCCGGAGGCCTAGGCTGGCGTCGCCAGAAACGCATTTTCTTTCCCTGGGAGGGAAGCGGTGAGAATCTCCGCCCCTTCCCTAAGCCTTCCTTGTACCCAGTGAGTTTGGCACACGACCAAGAGACCCTTCCGGCTGTTTCGAGGTGTCTACGGAAGCTTGCGACATTCAGGCAGGAGCTGGGAGGTCTCTGGGAATCCGAAATAAGGCACAGATGAGAGATCCCTTCATCCTTGCTTGCCCTGCAAGCTCACGTCCCACACACCCCCACCGTAGGCTGTGCGCAGCGAGCCCCCAGACGTCTGAGGCAGATTAGGGATTGGCTGTGTACTCGGGCTTGAGGCCCTCTGTTCCGGTGACAAGGTCTCCAGACCAGCCAAACTGAGATCTCTAAGTCCAAAGGCTTCAACCCCGAATGCCGTCGAGGGCTGGGGGTGCAAGAGGGCTACAGCCCGAAGAGACGCGGCCTGACCACTTGGACGGCAGCTTCAAAGGCACCGTCTCCTCCTCACCCTGAGGTTCCTTTTCCCAGAAAACGCGAAGAAAGGCAGTTCGTTGACTGGGAAGGCGGTGAGGCTTGTGGCACGCCGCGCGGGGGCAAAGGAGTGCGGAGCCTCGGGCGGGAGGGGCGCTCAGAGGAGCGGGTACGTTGCTGGCTACAGCCCCAGCTTGATAAAGGGAAAGCCTCACTTTCCCTCTCACTGATTTTGATTTGATGTGTCACCGGCGGTGACCTCGGGCTGGACCTTCCGGGGCTTGCTTAGCATCGGGCCCCTGATTGGAGTGTTTCAACTCAGCGATCTAATTGAGGGTTCATGTCATAACACATCAAACGGTGTCTCGTCTCCCGTGATGGAAGGGACCCGCCAGCCGCGCATCCCCGGTTCCTGGCGAGGACTTCCGCCTCTCTCACGAGGGGCTTTTAACCGTGCTAACCCCCACCCCCTCCCCCAACCCATGGATGGCCAGCCTAAGAGGAAAGAGCAACGGCCTGCCTAAAGCGGGGCCAGCCGCGCTAACTTGGCGCCTTGCCTAGGTGATGTTTAAATCTCCATCGAGTGGGGCAGGCTTGGCTCCGGAGGAGCCAAGGAGGGTCCCTCAAGGCGAGGAGCAAAGAAAAGGAGGAAACTCACAGCTGGTTCAAGAGGCATGAGCGACTTACTCTCAAGCCTTCTTCACCCCCGGGGAACCCCAGAAGTCACGCCTGAAGCCCTTGGTTGGGAGAGCCGGGGAAACTGTGCAAAGTAAATGAAGGTCGCTTTAGATCTCTAAAGAAAGCAGGTTCTCACCCAACACGCCACCACCTCTCCCTATCCATGAGATTTGATGGCAAGCTTAAATATATATTACCTCCACATATCGAGGTAATGATAATAAGAATTAACGAACATTTACAGTGTGCCAAGTACTGCACTAAAAGTTGTTACATGAATTACCTCACTTAATTCTCACAGCCACTTCTGAGGAAAGTTCTATAATCACTTTTTTTACAGGTGAAGTAAAGAAGACAGTGAGGTTTAGCAAGTTTCTCAAGGTCACACAGCTAGTAAGAGGTGAAGCTCATATAAGATTCTAGGCCCTGCAAGTTCAACTGGGGCACTATATAGATAGGGTAAGGGATGGAGAGGTTTTGGATGGATGCTGGGAAGAAGCAGAAGTCAAATAATTGAGAGATTTTCCCCTTCCAGTCTAGTATGTTTCGGTAGTCTTTTAAGACCCAGTTAGAAGTTGGGGTTGAACTTGGGATTTAAGGGTCTGAATTTGTGCCATGCATGCTTCCTCCTGTATTTGTTTTAGCAGAGCCACAGAACTTGTTATCTCTTAATCTTTAAAATGGCCCTACATTGTCTGTTTTATACTATCCGAAGAGTATGCATTTTGTACCCTTTAAATGATTCTGGATCCATAATGTTGAGAAAGCATGTGCTTTTGTATTGATGCCATCACAGGATCAAAGTGGAAAAGATTTGATACAGTGAAATTACAGTTAGCTGGTGAGATAACTCATTAAAAGGCCACTGGTACTGAGGCCCTAGCTCCCTAACCCTGAGGCTTGGAAAAGGCAATTAGAACTTGTATGCATTTAACGGGCTGAGAGATAGGGTGGGTGGGTGGGAGGAATGGAGGAAGGTAGAAAAAGATAGAGTGTGTGTGCATATGTTACAGAGAGAAACTCAGACTTTCAATGAATGTGCAGTGCAAATGTCACATAATTCTAACAAGGGGAAGGGGAGCAACTCTCAAGGATGAGGAAATCCAAATGAGTCTAAGAATATTGCTGTGAGATACGTTGCCAGAAGACTTAGAAATAAGAATACCTTTAATATTTGCACAATAGCACTCTCAGAAAGAAGGCAGTAAGGAACTATTAGCAACAAAAAACGAGATCGGCACATCTGAGACACCCTGGAAATAACCCCCAAGATAATTTGCTGCCAATTGTTTGTCTACATCTCCTGTACCCTCTGGGTCCTGATGGTCAGAGAGCAGAGAAGGACAATTCTGGGGCTAGCTGGGCTGTGGGGAGAGCATTTGAAGAGTTGCATGGTTCCCTCCAGACCGAAGTTCATCTTCATAAACGTCATGTTTATGCAAAACAGCACAGGGTTTCTGGGTGGACCTGAGCTGCAGAGTGGTGTAATCAACGCGGCAGTGCTTTTGCCCGGGACCCTGTTGTCGTTGGCAAACGGAAAATGAAATATAAGCAGGGAAGTATTTTAATGGGGACGGAGGGAATTCACAACTGTTAATTATTTGGTGACCTTGTATTCGATTTGTTTGAGTCCCTTATAAAAACACTAATGCAGACCAGACGGCCAAATGAGGAAGCCGGGCAGAAGGTTCCAATCTAGGCTTTATTTCCCCGGAAAGAGGGAACAGCCTTGGAAAAGGCTTTCTAAGCGTTCAAGTGTGTTCCTGTATGGCAGCGCCTGCCTGAGCGCGGGCACAGTTTGGGCCACAGCTCAGGTTCCTCCTCCAGGCCGGCGGTTAAGCTGGAAGGTCCTGGCAAAGCCCTGGGGGTAGGGGAAAGAAGTTTTAAACTAGAAGTTTGTTCTGCTCTTCTGTTTGGAATAATTAAGACATGTCTAAGGCCGCAAGTCAACATTGGCTTGTTATTAAATAGTTACCGTCCCAATCCCTAAGGCCTTAAGCTCTGCTTTACAGGGAAAAGCAAGGACCTAAAAACACCCAGCATCTTCTGTAGCGAGACAGCAGGTTGCTCAGGGATTTTTGGCGGGTTTTCTTGGCAAGGGAAACTAATCTGAGGACACAGCGTCTTCTTCATGCAGAAGGTTCTCAGGCCTCTCGGAATCTGCGTGG